TCCACATACAGCCCCCCACATACAGCCCCCCACATACAACCCTCCACATACAACCCCCCACATACAACCCTCCACATACAACCCTCCACATACAACCCCGCCACATACACCCCGCCACATACAACCCTCCACATACAACCCTCCACATACAACCCCGCCACATACCACCCTCCACATACAACCCTCCACATACAACCCTCCACATACAACCCCGCCACATACCACCCTCCACATACAACCCCCCACATACAACCCTCCACATACAACCCCACCACATACAACCCTCCACATACAGCCCTCCACATACAGCCCCCCACATACAACCCTCCACATACAACCCCCCACATACAACCCTCCACATACAGCGGCTTATTTACCTGCTCAACAAGCAAAAGTTCAGTCATGTTCAATTAAAAATGGCAAAGTGTGTTTTCAATGAGACTTGACTTGATATCAGTGATTTTTTTCACTTTGTTGAAAGCGGTTCACAGCAGTCAGGTATGACTGTTTCATTCAAATAATTTAGTGTTCTTGTATTAAAATTAATTAGTCTTTAATAACTAAATTGATAGCAATAAAATGTTTTCGATGTTTACAATTACCATTGTTTACCATCATACAGGCACCCCGCCTGTATGATGGTAGGGGAAACACTGAGTTAGGCAGTCATGGTGTCATACCAAGATCTGAAAACTCATGAGAAATCAGACAGGACAGATGTTGATTGATTTTGGGGTAAAAATTCCAAGAGTGTTTAGGAACGTAATTTTTTTTAGCGTGTATTTCATCTTTAAAGTTGTTTTTATAAAATGTGAGCCATCACATCGAAATGAGGATTAAGTTCAAAAGTTTATATAGAGAAATAGGCAAATAGTGTTTTGACTAAAATGTTAAAAAATTGCAGTTTGTCAAAATATATTGAATAAATGCTTTATCAATGTATCATTTGAATGAACTGTCTGAAATATAATCATAAAACAACATTTTGTAGCATTTTTTTTGAGCAGTAGCAACAAAAAAACTGATTTTGAGGAAAAACGCCTTAAAATGTTGAGATTTTCACTGTGAGTTAGCAAAGTTTTGTTTTTAGCTGGGAAATCTCAATATTCAAATATAATTTGAGGTTTCCTCTTTATAAGGAGATCAAAAAATTCCTCATTAAAATGACATAAAATTAGGATTCAGACCAAATATTTATTATTGTAACGAACAAGACAAATTAAGTCATATATATGGATTTACTTATGATATCCGAATGATCCAGGTATCAAAATGTAGCTTTTAAAGCCAATAATCTGAAAATGTAATGAGGTCATTTTGACCAAATTTGACTTAATCTTCATTTCGATATGATGGGTCACAAGTATGAATTGAGTCTCATTTCATTACACCCCTAATAACTGTTGTTTTCATTTTGTGCAATTAAAAGTAACTATTAAATATTTTTGCAATTGTTCAGAGATGGAAACGACCAGAATGAGGAAGGTACAAGCTCCTCAGCGTCTGTCCAAAGAAGGAAGCGGTTTTCCATTAAGCCTAAAGTGGTCCCTGGTCGTCCCCCTACTCTCTCCCGGACACCAAAATCTCCCGTGAAAGCAGCCGTAGCTACTCCTGCTGAAGTCTCTGGCTCAAACACTGAGAAACTGTCAACATCCACCAAAGCTACAACAACAGCAGATCTCCGTGGACTCCAGTCCCCAAGGAGAAGACGACTCTCAGAAGAAAGCGTCCAGCCCAAAGTCCAGCCTAAACTTATCCCTTCATCTCCCGACACATCCGGAACTGTCATCGCTCCAGCTGAAAATGTGTCAGAACTAACACATCTGCCAGCAGACAGCACTAAACAAGCTGAAACTGTTTCAGGCAGTCAAGTTAAAGGAGCTCCATCCAGACCACCAGAGAGAGTACCACCATCTCTACCGGATAAAGAAACTACAGAGATATCAGAAAAAGCCAAGACTCTGATATCAAAAAATGCAGTTTCAGTAACTCAGTCAACGCTGTCCTTGAGTCGACTCCTGAACGACCCGTCAGACGTACAAAGAATGATCAAATCCCAGAAGCTCAGAGATTTACTCAAACAGGAGCGATGCAAAGAAAAGGTTAGCTTCGGTTACTTATTGTTCATATTGTTCATTTTGTAAGCAATGCAAGTTTAATATGTTATATAGATAAAAATGGCACAAATGTTATAATTTTATGTTGCAGAATCTCAAGAAAGTGAAAACCTTTCAAAAGGAATTTTCTTTAGATCCCACCAAAATGACAATGAGAGACCTTATCCATTATATCCCAGTGTCTAACCCCATGACGTAAGCATCCTGCAGTTTGGTCAGGATTAAGACACATTTTTCTCTCACATTCAGAGGTGATGTTTTCTATAACTTGTCAAAACCATATTCCCCCCCTGATCCAGTTTAGAAGACGTCGCTCAAGAGAATGAAACCGTGATCCCGCCTTCGTCGTCAGCTTCACCGAGGAGAGAAAAGTATGTTTTTAATTTAAAAAATATATGTGTATGATTTTTTTGATGTTGGACATATTAAGCAAAGGCCATTTCAGTTTGTAATTTAATGTTTTTAATATCTTAAACAAATTTTGCTGTAAATTAAAATAACTGAAGCAACATGATACAGGGTTCTTGCCGGGTCTTAAAAAGTCTAAAATTTGAAAATCTAAATTTTAGGCCTAAAATAGTCTTAAAAACGCCCAGATTTTTATCCAAGGTCTTAAATTTAATTTTGTCAAGTCTTAATTTTTTCTTCTTTTCATCATTCCTGAGAACCGTTGTCTGCATAAATAAAGAAAGTTAAGAGTTGTAATCAGAGGTTGACATGATCTGTCTTCATGAAGTGGAGGGCTGCAACTAACGATTATTTTAATAATCGATTAATCTGTTGATTATTTTTCGATTAATTGGCCAAATCATTAAAACGCTTAATTACATGAATATGAGTAGAGATAAATTAAGTTAACTCCTTAAAGAGTAACTTACCCCAAAATTAACTTTTTTCAGCTGATAAACTGTCTAGAGTGGGTCTAAAATGTTATATAGTACTGTTTCTGTGCTAATTTTGATGTTTTTGTGTGTATTTGTTCAAATCTGTAATATTTGGTCAAAAAACGTCTTTTTGCTGCTCATATGGGTAGAGCAGTGGTACTGCAGGCTAATTTGCATATTGCTTGGCTCTCCACGGTGACG